AATAGATAACAAGAGATATAGATATATATGTGCATCTTTATATATATATATCTGAATTCCTCGATTCGAAAAAAAAAAAAAAATATAATAAAAGGATAAAGAAAAAAAAAAGAAGAAAAAGAAGAAGAAGAATAGATTAGAAGGGAGAAATAAGGACTAGTGGATGAATTGTCTTGAAAACTCGAGTCATTGCATCAGGCAAAAGTGTTGACGTGTGAAATTTGGAGAATCGAGTTTATTAAAGTCCCTAGAGGTGAATTCATTGTTTTAAACGCCTATCTCTCAAATTTTGGCGTAATCACCTCAATTCAAGAAAATTAGCCACACATTCCCATATGACCTACCTTGGACCAAAGAGCCTAACAATCCATCGAGCCCGCCCAACCCAGCAACCAAAATTGAAAAGCCACAAAGTCCCAATGATCCCAATAGCTTATTGTTCAATATTAGTTGAGTAAAATAATTTGGTGAGTATTTGGAGTCAAATATATGCATGTAAGTATAAATTCTTTCTATCTTTAACTTGCAAATATTGGATACTTGAAGCAATTGTATGATTTGTGGTTTTTGGTAATAGTGAGTGACTAAGTGCCGTTGAATGTTAAGCTTGCGAATACCTATGAATTGTCATCATAATTGCAAGTTCTGAAAACGCGAAGTTGACCCATCAATCTATGTAATGAGATGTATGGTTTTGTTTTGTGTTCTTAATTTGATTTTACTTGAGGACAAGCAAAAGTTCAAGTTTGGGGGTGTGTTAAGTGTATATTTATACACTTAATTATACCTTTTAATTGGAGCTTTTGGTGTGTTTTTATGATAATTGGTGCTTAAAATGGCTATTATTTGTATTTTAGGTGCAAATTGGAGAATTGACAACTTTTGGGGTGAAAACTGCAAATTCAGAGAAAAAGTGGGCCAAAAGTGAAAAAATCAGATTTCCTGCAGAATTAAAGCCCGCGCGGCCGTGCGGATTTTAGAGTTTAATCTCACACGGCCGTCCGGATGGTCGAATTGGCGCAGTGAAGGAATCCTAATTACACAAGGAAACCCGCCCTATTATAGTTTTGCACCCTATTTAAAGGCCACAAGCACTCAATTAGAGATATCTTGACCTTTCATCTTTAATCTTTAGGGTTTTTATTTTTAATCTTTCTACACGCAATCAAGGAGCACAAGAACGAAGACGAAGACTTGACGAATCTTCATCATAGTTCTCCTCTTTTATTGTTATTTATAGTTTTATGATTTTTCGTATTTTTATTATGTTTTTCGTAACGAACATGCGTAGCTAAGTTTTTAATCTAGGATTTTGTTGGAACCCTATGTAGGGATTGTGAACCCTTTTTCTTGAGATTATGCAATTATGATTTTATGATTATTTCTTCTACTTGATATGATTGTTAGTGCATGAACTTGATCAATTTATGTGCTTTATCTGTGATTATTGGGATTGACTTGACAGAGCTATTTTGATAATTAGACGGTAAGTATAAGAGCCTTCGAGTAGTTTTCACCGGATGAGTGTGTCAATTGCATGTGGTGTCGTAGACATACAGATATTACCTTAGGTAGCCACTTACGAGACTTGTTAGTTAATGCTTTATTTATAATTGGTTTGCATAGACATATAGTGAATCGTTTATGAATAATAGACTCATAATACACGCGACAGCGGGTTATGAGTAAATTAGTGTCTCGGGTTAATAATCATGAATCATATATTTCATAATTGAGGGGTTTTGGGTGAGCAATTCTTGCATAGGGGGAAGATAAAATCCTAGATCCGTTTATTATTGACTTTTTCTCGTGATTACTTGTTTTCTTAATTATTTTAATTTTATTAGTTAATTAATTTGACAACCTTGCGTAGGCTGGATAAAAATCACAATTGTTAGGATTTGGTACTTAGGATTAAATAATTTGCGTATTCCCTGTGGGATCGACATCCGACTCTCACGAGTCTACTTTACTACTTGTTTGCGATACGTACACTTGCGTGTTGGTATTTAGCACCCAACAGTGGTGCTCAACGTTGTGCGACTATGATGTTGGAGGGGGTGGCATGGGGGGATTGATGGTGATGGCGGCGGCGGCTCTGGGGCGGCGGCGGTGGCTCTGTGGCGGGTTGGTCATGAGGGCGGCGGTGGGGGGCGGCGCTCGGGGGCTGGGGGATGGTGTCGGTGGTGCTCGACGTTGTGGGGGGTTATGGCAGCGTGGGTGGGGTTTTGTGGCATTTTTAGCGGCGTGGTGATGTTGGCGTCACATATCTAGGGTTTGGTGGAGGAGCTCTACGGTTTGGTGGGACAGGTCTAAGATTTTTCGACTTCATGTCTATAGATGTCTATGAGTATCTATGGGTGTCTATGGTGTCTGACGGCTAGGGTTCAAAGGAGGAGACTTCATGTCTATAGATGTCTATGAGTATCTATGGGTGTCTATGGTGTCTGACGGCTAGGGTTCAAAGGAGGAATTAGGGTTTTGAGAATACGTGACTATGGATTACTACAATTTTCTACGAGTGTCTATACATGACTACGGACTACTATGGTTTCCTACGGGTTTATATAGAAGACTACGGCTGAAAAAAAAGTTAAAAAATCACAATTTTTAATATTATGTAGAAAAAAGAAAAAAATACGAAAATGCAAAAAAAAAAATGTTCTACGAAAAAAAAAATAAAAAAATGCTAGATGCGAAAATAAAAATGTTAAATGCAGAATGAAAAAAATTATAAATGCAGTTTAAATATTATTTGGTGTATATTTCATTTTTTGTATGTGGGGGCATTTTTGGAATGAAATGTATAAAGGATGTGAAGCAAATGTTTAGTTAGACTTGTCATTTAGTTCTAATAAGTTTTGTACCTATATCTTAAAGCCCCAATTTTTTATGGGGTAATATGCTAGAGGTCCCTAGTTGGAAACATAATTAGATGTGAAATACAACCTTAATATTTTTCTATGAACTAAATCCTTTTTAGAAAAATAAATATGAGTCACATCCTCAAATTTTCTTTTATCCCTAATTTACCCTTAACCTAAATCCATAAATTCTAAAGTCACGTTTCTCTCAGATTTATTTTTCTTTTTTCTTCTCTCTCTCAATCTCGTTCCCTCTCTGTCTCTCGCATCTCTCTCTCTCTCTCTCTCTCTCTCTCTCGCAACAATCTTTCTTTGTATATTTCTCTCTCTCTCAATCTTTATCTCTCTACTTTTCGATATCGCTATCTCTATGTCTCTTTCGTTCTCCACCACTCCAATCCACTATTGAGAGGGGCGGTGGTTATGGCGGTGGAGATGGCAGCAATAAACGGATGGTTGTAGAGGCAAGGAGACGGCGGCTATGGTGGTTTAAGGTCATATCTATGGTGGAAGGCGCGGCGACGGTGTTGGGCATGGATGATGGCGTGATGGCGGCGTTCGGTGATGGTAGTGGTGGTGGATGGTGGTGGTGGATGGTGGTGGATGGTGGTGCTGGAGGAGCGGATCTAGGGTGGTGGGGAAAATATAAAAAAATTCGATTTGGACGTCTATGGGTGTCTATGGGTCTGGCGGCTAGGGTTTGTAGGAGGAATTAGGGTTTTAAGATGTCTTAGGGTTTCAAGATGTCTATGGGTGACTACGGATTACTACAGTTTCCTACGGGTTTCTGAAGATGTCTACGACCGAAAAAATTAAAATAATCATAATTTTCACTTTATGTAGAAAAGAAGGGGAAAAAAAATAGATTTTTATATAATGATAAAATACGGAAAAAAAAAAAAACGTGTTCCACGTAAAAAAAAAAAATGCTAGATACAAACTTAAAAATGTTAAATAATACCATAGTTCATCATAGTATATTTACAATTTGGTGTAATTTCGAATTTGTGAGTGGAGGGGCATTTTTGGAATAAATTTAATAAATGATGTGAAACAAATTTTAGTTAGACTTGTCTAAATCTAATAAGGTTTGTCAACAGGGACTTATATCTTAAGACCC